TATGAGGTGCTGACCGAGTGTTGTTACTTTGAAGCCGATCCATAATCCAAGATGGCCGCCAGCGGGGGACTTAGTTTAACATATGACCCTATGGGAAATACATACAAATGTCTTCTTTTAGAGAACCACTGAATGTTCCTTATGAGGTGCTGACCGAGCGTTGTTACTTTGAAGCCGATCCATAATCCAAGATGGCCGCCAGCAGGGGACTTAGTTTAACATGGGACCCTATGGGAAATACATACAAATGTCTTCTTTTAGAGAACCACTGAATGGAATGAAACCAAACATGGCACGAATGTTCCTTATGAGGTGCTGACCAAGTATTGTTACTATGAAGCTGATCCATAATCCAAGATGGCCGCCTGCAGGGGACTTAGTTTAACATGGGACCCTATGAGAAATACATACAAATGTCTTCTTTTAGAGAACCACTGAATGGAATGAAACCAAACATAGCATGAATGTGCTGACCGAGTGTTGTTACTTTGAAGCCGATCCATAATCCAAGATGGCCAAAAGTGGGGGACTTAGTTTAACATGGGACCCTATGGGAAATACATACAAACGTCTTCTTTTAGAGAACCACTGAATGGAATGAAACCAAACATGGCAAGAATGTTCCTTATGAGGTGCTGACCAAGTGTTGTTACTTTGAAGCTGATCCATCATCCAAGATGGCAGCCAGCGGGGGACTTAGTTTAACATAGGACCCTATGGGAAATACATACAAATGTCTTCTTTTAGAGAACCACTGAATGCAATGAAACCAAACATGGCATGAATGTTCCTTAGGAGGTGCTGACCAAGTGTTGTTACTATGAAGCTGATCCATAATCTAAGATGGCCGCCAGCGGAGGACTTAGTTTAACATAGGACCCTATGAGAAATACGTACAAATGTTTTCTTTTAGAGAACCATTGAATGGAATGAAACCAAACATGGCATGCATGTTCCTTTTGAGGTGCTGACCAAGTGTTGTTACTTTGAAGCTGATCCTTCATCCATGATGGCTGCCAGATGGGGACAATGTTTAACAAAGGACCCTATGGACAATACATACAAATGTCTTCTTTTAGAGAACCACATACTGAATGGATTGAAACCAAATATGGCATGAATGTTCCTTATGAGGTGCTGACTAAGTTTTGTTACTTTGAAGCTGATCCTTCATCCATGATGGCCGCCAATGGGGGGACTTCCTTTAACATAAGATCCTATGGGTAATACATACAAATGCTTCTTCTAGAGGTGCACTGAATGGAATGAAACCAAAACATGGCATAAATGTTTCTTATGAGGTGCTGATTAAGTGTTGCTACTTTGTTGCCGATTTACTGTTCAAGATGGCCACCAGGATTTTTTATTAAATTACAGGACCAATATTAAACCAAATTTGGCCTCACTCATTATTAGGGTATCTGTTATGATTTTAATCTATTTTTACATGATTTCCAAAACCAAAGTAGAATCAGGTGAGCGACACAGGCTCTTGAGAGCCTCTAGTTTATTGTTCTAACAATAGTATGATTGATTATTTTAAATTAATCAACAAATTATGAACCCTGGAAAAAGCCTGAAACCTCAATTTTTACAGTTTTTGACAAAATTGATATTGAGTATTTATCCTTAAAAAATATATGAAAAAGACGTTAACCAAACAAAAAATGTTGGACTGAGTAAAGATGTGTATGTTTTTTTCGCATTTCATTTGTGTAGATTAGTGACGTTCAATACAAATTTTAACAAAATTTTAACAAAAACCGTATTAACAGTTGTAATTTTTTATATCAAAATACCCTCAGTAGCAACATGTAAGATTTTTTTTTTTTTTTACTTAAGTATGGTTTTGGCTATACTCAAATATTTAAGATTATTCTTAACTTTGAGTAAAAAAATCTCTGAGAATTTTTTTATGGCGGTGTATTTTGCTGAGAATAAAAAAATTGCACCTTTCCTTACATCACCTAGGATAGTAGTAGGGGCATTATGTTTTTCTGGTCTGTGCTTCCGTTCTTTTGTCCGATAGTTTGTCCTTCTGTCCTGCTTCATATTAAAGTTTTTGGTCAAGGTAGTTTTTGCTGAAGTTGAAGTCCAATCAACTTGAAACTTAGTACACATGTTCCCTATGATATGATCTTTCCAATTTTAAGCCAAATTAGAGTTTTGACCCCAATTTCATGGTCCATTGAACATAGAAAATGATAGTAAGAGTATGGTATCCGTGTACTATGGACACATTCTTGTTTTTATTTACTTGTAAATTATTTTGGAGGTACTGTAGCTATATAGAGTTATATCCCTTAGACTTCAGATTTTTTTTTTACTTATATCAGTAAGAAAGTCTTCTTTTCTTCTCTTCTTTTCTTCTCTTGACTACATCATGGACATTGCACTAATACATTGTTTAATTTTCTGCCATTAATAGTTGTCATATTATTCATAAAAGTATAATTTCATGGACAATGAACATCTCCTTTGTCTGTTATCTTCAAAATGGTGCTCATTTACAATTCTCCAGCATGTCCAGAGAGCCATTTTTGAAGGCCTTGCACCGTTACTTACAGTATATTTTTACTTAATTAGTTCCTCAGATAAAAGGTTGAAATCTATTTAAAAAATCCTAATAAACCAGAAAAATATTGTTTAGGAATGTTTTTAACATGTTTAACCTCCCGAAACTTGCCAATTTAAGGTGTGGTAAAAACAAATTGCTTGTATAAGTAAATTTTAAGAAGATTAAAGGGAGATTACTCAAACCTTATAAGAAAATTAAAATCTTACAAATTGACTATACAAATGAATATTACTTACATCTTCAAGTAAATTAAATAAACATGATTTGTATAAATATTACCCCTGACTGACAGTGTTTTCCTCGGAGATCGTTATTTTTGTTATTTCACTTTTTTCTTTCAGTTGACATGGTTGAATTAAAAAAGAGATAATAGTATTGTAAGGGGACGAAGTCCCCTATTACAGTAGAAAAATCAATAAAAAAAAAATTTCCCGAAATTTTCATTGTACTAATGAACTCAAAATCGTTAACTTTTTTTTTGTAACTTTTTTTAATTCCCGCATTTGCGCAGAAATCTACTTCCTTCTTCCGGTCTCGTTTGTCATGAGACTTTGAGTGAAATATATATTTATCAGTCCAGTAAAATATAGGAAGGAACACAATAACAATTTCATTTCTAATTATTCTTTGATATGAAAAAACGTTACCTGATGATAGCGTTTCTTTGTTTACATTGAATACGACGTCATAACTAAAATAACGTCACAACTAAAATCCCTAACAACAGAACCAAAATCGGAAACGTTACGGTATTTCCATTTCTTTTTTAACAGATTTAGAACTTAAAATATGTTTGAATTAAAAAAAATAATTTATATAGACTTCGTCCCCTTTCACAGGTAATGCCTGCCTCATATTATTTGAAGATCTGTGGGCATCAATTTTTGATTTATTGGTCGCACATGTATCTGTATACAGGCTCTATCATAGATAAGAGTCTACCAATTTTTGTCATCTACCTTTACTTTTTTGGTTAATTACAGAAAATCAGATTCAGAGAAATAACTTTTACAACACAGACATATACATGATATATATGTAGTTAAAAATAATATATATATAAAGATACCATAGGGGCAAGTTGATAGTTATATATAGACAATCTAATTAAAATACAGATCCTGTCAACACTTTGCTTACAATTGCAAGGATCTGAAAATGCTACATCTACTTTCTCTTTTAAAGACTTTTTGTGATCCTCAGGTTTTGCTGTAATGATATATACACACCTTCAAAAATTGGAAACTTCTAGGTAGGAAAAAATTGTTGTCCTTGTCTTAACAAAGCAATGGGCACATACATGGTGCATTGTCAGTGATTGTGCTGCATCTGATAAACAAATGTCTTCATTAGTCTAAATTAAAGTTCATTACTCGTTGATAGTAAAAAGGGACTTGTAAACAAGTGATTACATTATGAAAATTCTAAACAGCTTCCATGTCATCTAAACATGATCCTTTCACATTGAGCTGGAGCAGAGTCATTTCTATTAAACAGTAATTTCCTTTTGCCAAAATTTAAAGATTTGAAACAAAGTACATATACTAGGTAGTTTGAAAATTTACTTTTGACAAACTAGTCATTGATTGTCAGGTATAATAACATATATTGAATTGTGCTTCTTTTTAAAATGCTATTTGCTAATACAAGGGTGACATTCTGCCCTAACATATAGTTCAGGGGGTTTAATTATGTTTAATGTTACCCTAATATGCAGAGTAATCAAAAATAAATAATTTAAAACAATAATTGATTTTAAATCACAAATTTGAAATAAAAAAAAATGGTCTCTGTTGGCAATGTTTTCTTGCAGTATAATATCTGATGTAAGGGGACACTCTAAGCTATATTATACCTCATGCTAGAAAGGCAGATTTCTATTGGGTAATAAGAGGGTGATAATTTACACTATCCCATGACTACGCTTCACAGAGACGCTTGATCAATTACATGTATATACAATGTATATAAATGCGTTTTTATTAAATATGAATGTACAAGATGTCATAGTTTATTACTTTGAACTTGAAATATAACAGAACATCCAGTATGATAAATTGAATAACACATAGCTGAGAGGGTGAATTCATTTGAATTGTTTTACATTTATAATTTCAAGTCCTTTTATAGCTATGCGGTATTGGTTTTGCTCATTGTTGGAGGCCGTACGGTGACCTATAGTTGTTAACTTCAGTGTCATTTGGTCTTTGATGGACAGTTGTCTCATTGGCAATGAAACCACATCTTATTATTTTTATATGATAGAGCAGATATTAAACCCTTGAAAATACATTGTCAACCTTCATGCTTTGCCATTGGTTGACAATGTTTTCTTAGGGTAACTATCTGCTTTGTTACCCTCTTAGCTGTGTGTTATTTATATAATATTACATCATTTAAATAGAAACTTAATCTTTTGTAGGCACAGAATTATTATGGTATGGTAAACCAGACATTATGTTATTTCCCCTTGGTGGAAACTGTAGTATTGTAATACCTAAAGACAAAAGTTTAGAAAATTTATCAGAAAAAGAAGAGCAGCATACAGACGTTAAAAAAGAATTAAAATTATTAAGGGAACATTCAAATGTAAGCCAGTTTGTGGCCCAAGCCATTACATTCTCTTTTTATCAGAAACGATTTCAACTCCTAAAACCTGATTATTACCAACCAATAGTGACACTGATACCGACCATTGCAATAAATGATAAGTGCTTCGATGTTTATATGTATGATACAGAAAACGATATTCTCTTGAGGAATGATGGAGATCCAATTCCATTGTGGAATAATTTACATGAACCATCTGATGCTACATTGGACATGGGTTCAGTTCTTCAATTGTGGATGTTGATAAATCATTTAGCGATTCAACCAATTCTTTCTCAATCAGAGCTTGAAAAATTTTCTGGGACATGTGGATTTTCAACAAGTTTAACGGATGATCATTTGAACAAGATTGAAATGGAAGTTAAAATGAGGAGCAAGTTTATTGATCATAATTAGCAATCTTAGTAACTTTTATTATATGGATTTAGATTTCATAGGAAAGGATATATAAGAGCCAATATTTGAAATTGGAAAAAATTGCAAAATTTTTCAAACCTTAACATTAGTTAAAATGACGAATGAATGATATACAATCTGTTCATGTTAGACTAAAATTTAGATAAGATAAGTTAGTTGTGAAGGCACTATGACAGAATAAACATGTCCAAATTTAAAATTTTATCCTGAAATTTTGCATATAGCATGTATAGTTTTGGAGTCTAGGCTCTACTTTAAAAGATTGATCACATATATTTATTATAACAACCATTTCAACTAAATGGCAAAATTTCAAAATGAAAATATTTTGGAAGTTTCCCATTAAATTCAAGCTATTTAGGCAAAAAAAAAAATTAAGTTAAAGACAGTATATTCAAGACTAAGTCACTTATGTCTTGTAGGCCTTTGAAGGATATGAAGGATATTTGATACAATTACAACCGTTTTTGATTTTTGTCGAGCCTGCGACTTTTGTCGCAGAAAGCTCGACATAGTGATAGTGATCCGGCGGCGGTGTTAGCTTACATCTTAAAAGCTTTATAATTTAGAAGGTAGAAGACCTGGATGCTTCATACTTTGTATATGGATGCCTCATGTTACGAAGTTTCCGTCAGTCACATGTCCAATGTCCTTGACCTCATTTTCATGGTTCAGTGACTACTTGAAAAAAAAGTTAACATTTTTTGTAATGTTAAATTCTCTCTTATTATAAGTAATAGGATAACTATATTTGGTATGTGCATACTTTGCAAGGTCCTCATGCCTGTCAGACAGTTTTCACTTGATCTCGACCTCATTTCATGGATCAGTGAACAAGGTTAAGTTTTGGTGGTCAAGTCCATATCTCAGATACTATAAGCAATAGGTCTAGTATATTCGGTGTATGGAAGGACTGTAAGGTGTACATGTCCAACTGGCAGGTGTCATCTGACCTTGACCTCATTTTCATGGTTCAGTAGTTATAGTTACGTTTTTGTGTTTTGGTCTGTTTTTCTAATACTATATGCAATAGGTCAACTATTTTTGGTGTATGGAAATATTTTATGATCTATAAAACTATAAGCTGTAGGATAACTATATTTGGTGTATGGAATGATTGTAAGGTGTACATGTCTAGTTGGCAGGTGTCATCTGACCCTGACCTCATATTCATGGTTCAGTGGTCAAAGTTAAGTTTTTGAGTTTTGGTCTTTTTTTCTAATACTATATGCAATAGGTCAACTATTTTTGGTGTATGGAAATATTTTATGATCTATATGCAGTCGCCCAGGTTTCATTTGACCTTGACCTCATTTTCACAGTTCATTGATCAATGTTTAGTTTTTGTATTTTGGTCTGTTTTTTTTTAAACTATAAGCAATTGGTCAACTATATTTTTTGTATAGAAGGATTGTAAGCTGTATATGTCTGTCTGGCTGGTATCATCTGACCTTACCCTCATTTTGTTGGTTCATTGGTCAATGTTAAGTTTTCATGGTTAAGTTTGTTTCTTAGATACTACATGTACTATAAGCAATAGGTCAACTATATTTAATGCATAGGTTGATTGTAAGGTGTACATGTCTGCCTGGAATGGTTCATCTGACCTTGACCTCATTTTCATGGTTCATTGGTCAATGTTTAGTTTTCTTGGTTAAGTCTGTTTCTTAGAAACTATAAGCAATAGGTCAACTATATTTAGTGTATTGAATGATTGTAAGGTTGATAGTTGTAGTAAAGCTTTATATTTAGGACTATCAACATAATATCAATGCTTAGTAAAGAAGGCGAGACATTTCAGCATGTGCATTCTTGTTGATTTCAAAAGGCCGAAAAAAAAAGCCTTATCATACCTACTCCATTCCTGAGACTTTCTATAGAAAAATACAGTAGTATATTATTTAAGTCTCCATCTATATCTGTATCTTATTGTAACATAAAATTCTCTTCTATTTTTATTTGGTCACCTGACCCTATTGGCCATATTAGTTATTGCCATCACTTGGTATTGAAGCCCATTGTTGTAAACCTTAATCTCCTTTAAAACCAATGGACACTAGGGCTGAATGACTCTAAGGGTATTAACACATAAAGAATAAAGTTTGTGTTTTTGTTCCAGTGTTTCAACTATTATAATTACTATTGCTAAAAGTAGAAAATAAAGGTAAAATGTGTAGTTGTCTGATTTCTTAAAACCATCATAGATCAAGAAAATCTGATAAATGAAAAGTAATCAGATTGTTAAGATCACTTTTTGTCTTGCCTTGACGGAGTCAAAAAGCGAGACATAGGTATGCTGTTTCTGGCGTCGGCGGCGGCATCAACAATGTATTAGTTTGTGATTAGGTCTAGTTCATGGTGAACCACTAGCGGTAGGTCAATGATATTTGGTATGCAGTTATATTAGCATTGGCACATCTCAATACCATGGAGATTATTTGGCCCCGTCCCCTCAGTCAAGGTCTATTGACTTTGAAACTTTTCATAGTTTACATGTATTAGTTTGTGATTAGGTCAATTTATGGGGAACCACTAGTGGTAGGTCAATGATATTTGGTATGCAGTTGTATAAGCATTGGTATATCTCATTTCCATGGAGATTATTTGGCTCCGCCCCCTTAGTCATGGTCTATAGACTTTGAAAATTTTGCTAAGTTTACATGTATTAGTTTGTGATTAGGTCAGTTCAAGGGGAACCATTAGTGCATGTAGTGGTAGGCCAATGTTAATTGGTGTTAAGTTGTATAAGCATTAGCACATCTCATTTCCATGGAGAATATTTGGCCCGCCCCCTCAGTCATTGTCTATTTACTTTGAAACTTTTGCTTAGTTTACATGTATTAGTTTGTGATTAGATCAGTTTAAGATGAAGTGCTAATGTTAAATCAATGTTATTTGGTATGCAAATTTATTGGCATTTGCAAGTATTGTTTCCATGGAGATTATATAGCCCCACCCCTGATCATGGTTCATTGACTTTGAAACTTTTATATAGTTTACATGTTAATGTTTGTGTTTAGGTTTGTTTAAAGGGAACGACTTATAATAAGTCAATGGTATTTGGTATGTAGTTGTATTAGCATTGGCACATCTCATATCATGGAGATTGTTTAGCCATGTACCTTCAGTCATGGTTCATCGACTTTGAATATTTGCATAACTTACATGTTAAAGTATTGCTATTTTAATTTCAACATTTGCATTATCAAAATTACAAAAAGGCAAGACATATCTCTGTGATAACAGTTTATTCCTATTTCCTAAAAAAAATCAGATGACTCAATATATGAGTAATTGCTCTCTGATAAATAATTTGACTAATATACTTGGTTTTTGTTGAGCCTGTGACTACTGTGGCAGAAAGCTCCACATAAGGGATAGTGATAAAACGGCCGCCAAGGCAGCGCTAATTAACTACTTAAAAGGTTTATATTTTAGAAGGTGGAAGACCTGGATGCTTCATACTTTGTATATTGATGCCTTATGTTATGTAGTTTCCATCTGTCATATGTTCATGGTCCTCAACCTCATTTTCATGGTTCAGTGACTACTTGAAAAAAAAGTTAAGATTTTTTGTAATGTTAATTTCTATCTTTTTAGGAGTAATACAATAACTATATTTAGTATGTGTGTACCTTGCAAGGTCCTTGTGCCTGTTAAATAGTTTTCTTATGACCTCCACCTTATTTCATGGATCAGTTAATTAGGTTTAGTTTTATGGTCAATTCCATATCTCAAATACTATAAGCACTAGGTCTACTATAATTGGTGAAAAGAATGATTGTAAGGTGTTCATGTCCAACTGGCAGGTGTCATTTGACCTTGTCCTCATTTTAATGGTTCAGTGGTTAAAGTTAAGTTTTTTCCTAATACTCTATGCAATAGGTCAACTATATTTTGCATGTTTGGTGTATGGAAATATTTTACTATGTACTTGTCAGTCTGGCACATTTTATTTTACCTTGACCTCATTTTCACTGTTCAATGCTCAGAGTTCAGGATGTGATTATACATGTATCTAATCATTGAAGACCAATAAATGAATTTTCATATAAATGCATGTTTTTTGAAATGTATCTTCTATAAAAATAAGAACATGAAGAAGATGTGGTATGATTGCCAATGAAACAACTCTCCACAAGAGACCAAATGACACAGAAATTTACAACTAAAGGTCACTGTACGGCCTTAAACAACGAGCAAAGTCCATACTGCATAGTGAGCCTATGATCTCATGTATATATTTTACCCTATAATGAATCTTTTTCAATATGTAATATCTTGATTTGTTATTTCTATAAATAACCTGTTTATAAGCTAGTTGAGTACATGTTTATTGTTATATGTATGCATATTTTCATCATAACTTTAAATATGATATGGTCTTTCTGCAATTTGACATTATTATAAATGCTAAATAGATATAAGAAGATGTGGTATGAGTGCCAATGAGACAAATCTCCATCCAAGTCACAATTAGTAAAAGTAAACCATTATAAGTCAAAGTACAGTCTTCAACGCGAAGCCTTGGCTCACACCGAACAGCAAGCTATAAAGGGCCCCAAAAATTACTAGTGTAAAACCATTCAAACAGGAAAACCAACGGTCTAATCTATATTAAAAAAATGAGAAAGGAAAAACACCCATGAACCACATCAACAAACGACAACCACTGAACAGGATATCCAATTGCTTTCCTGATTCATTTTTTTTAGCAATGTTTGGCTTAAAAGCACATTAACAACCTATGAATCAGTACTCTCACTAATGTATGCAGTTGCAGCATGAATGACCTCCAGATGAAATATCAGTTTCTCACCTTTAGTTTCCTTTTTTGTCTCCCCTGCGACGAAAGTCGCAAAATGCGAGACATAGGTATTACTATCCGGCGGAGGCGTAAACTATTTCTATAAAGCTTTATATTTCAGAAGGTAGGAGACCTGGATGCTTCATATCTTGTATGCAGATACCTTATGTTACGAAGTTTTCGTTTTTCATATGTCCAATGTCCTTGTCCTCATTTTCATGGTTCAGTGACTGCTCGAAAAAAAATTAAGAGTTTTTTTGTAATGTGAATTTGTCACTTATAAGAAATAGGATAACTATATTTGGTATATAGGTTCCTTGCAACGTCTTCATGTTCGTCAGGCAGGATTCACCTGACCTCGACCTCATTTCATGGATCAGTAATCAAGGCCAAAAACTATAAGCTGTAGGATAACTATATTTGGGTATGGAATGACTGTAATGGGTACATGTCTGTCTGGAAGGTATCATCTGACCTTGACCTCATTTTGATGGTTCGTTGGTCAATGTTAAGTTTTTGTGTTTTTGTCCGTTTTTCAAGTACTATAAGTAATTGGTCAACTATGTTTAGTGTATAAAATGATTGTAAGGTAAACGCGTCATTCTGGCAAGTATCATATGACCTTGACTTCATTTTCATGGTTCATTGGTCAATGTTAAGTTTCGGTGCTTGTTGGTCTGTTTTTCCAATTCTTAAAGTAATAGTTCAACTATATTTTGCGAAT